ACTCCAACAATTGATTGAGTAATTGTACAAAAAAATATACATTTTTTTAATCATACAAATAATATATCATTTTTTTTGTTTACTTCTCATCTATTCATTAATGCTGAGATTTTGGAGATATAAAGTACTTTTTTATCCATATACCACACAATTCCTCAACTACACAATTAGCTTTAGCATTAGCATATGAAATATTTTTTTTATGATACATTGCATTGATGCTCTAGTACCAGTCCTTCATTTCTGTGTAAAAAAAAAAAATCAGATTTATGCTGGACTTTTCCCATTTCCCATTCACTTCAATGTGGGGTCATATTGACCCCGAAGACCCAGAAGTGTAAACTTTTTTATTTTTTTTTATTTTACATACCTTCAGAACCACCGAATCAAGCCCATTTTTTTTTTCTGTGTTTATAGATAGATAATGTATGAAAAGTCACAAAATCTTATTCCACTGAGATGAAGGGAACCTTTTTTTTTTTTGTCAAGTAAAATTAGATTGGGGTCGTATAGACCCCATGACCCGATTGAGGGCTACTATATCACTCCACAGGCACGAGTGAATTTCGCCCTAAATTAGAGACCTTGACCACAAAAGTCTTTATTCCCCACTGAAATCATCTCATTTCTTTATTGCCTAATACTTAGTGATAACCACGACACCAGACAATAGCTCTTAGGACATGATCATCTTTAATTCCCAAGCTTAGCGTCAGCCCATTCAAGTTACTTTTGTAAACCCTGTCGCCTTCAGCTAAGTATCGATGTTGCAAAATGGGAATTTGCAGTTTTCTTTCAGCATTGATTGACATTAAGAGACTTCCCAGTCCACCCACTCTCGCTGTTTACTACAGCACACTCCGACTCAGCCAATGGAGGCGTCGAAAACAAAGCAAACCTTTCGTTCCACTTTCCACGTCTATAGCAGGCTGGAACACGTCGAGATCTCCCAGTGCGTTATGAGTGCTGATGTGCAGGTTCTATCTCAAACTGTCCCAGGGGACTTGACTCAAATAAACAGAAAACAATCTCTGAACGTCTTGACACTGAGTCACTCACGGTAGCGAGGCCGATCTGCTTACAGATGTCGACACGTGCAGCTCTATTTTTGTTATAGTTGGGGTTTGAATGTCATAGATCAATATCTGTGCATCAGAGTGGCTCTTGCTTCTAAAGGAACTCTCGAGGGAGCGTCAGCAATCGTAGTGGCCTTCACCCAAACATTGCCTGATGTCTGGTGTCCCGCGTCAGCTCTGTTAGTTATTTGTAGTTTTCTTCTGTTACAGCACTTCAGTGACTCAGTGCCTCTTCTCAGCTTTGTTCTATATCAGTGTAGCCTCGTTCTGAGCCATAATGTAATGGGCACCCAGAAGCATCCCGTGTTCCATGGCGATCAGACTTCTGCTGTGTGAGTGGTGTATTCGTGGCACCGCTGTTGCCCTCACAAATGGAGAGTGTGGGCTATCTCACACTCATTTTAAAGGAAACTGAAGGAACATCTCCCAAGTGACTGCTGCTTGTGGAAGAAAGGCTCACTGAAAGATCACAAGACTTGCTATTGCCAAGGTTAAATTTGGGGTTTGTACAGAGTTCTATCGCTTTTTGCCTCTCCAAAATGCTTTACTTGACAGCAAGCTTTTGCAAGGGCTGCCTTGTGCCTGCCGGTGCAAAAGTAAAGCGTTCTCCTGAGAGGGGTGCTGCTTACGTACTTATGCAAATTTTTTAGAAGTCAATGGCAAATGCTAGATGGAGAATAACAATCTGAGTTTGAAAGGGCAGCCGTCACTAGTCAAATAGCACAGGAGTGCGGAATGAAAGGAGTTTGATTGAGTGAGGATTGCATGATGTGTTTATACTTTGCATTGAAATGTACCACAATTGAAAATATTTCCATTCAAATCAATAAATAAATGCCCCTGATTTTTTGTAGGCAGGCAGTTATATATAAATTACATTTATGTTTACACAACTGTATGTGTGTGTGTGTATATATATATATTCATTATTTAATATTGTTATCATAGTATAATGAATCAAACCAGGTTAAAAAAAAACAGTTGTTAAACCGAAAAGTTGGTTTAAAGAAAGCTCTTAGCTAACCTAAAAGGATTCATATAAAAGAAAAAGATTGACAAAAAGATTGCAAGGAAAATGTTTCACACATAATGACAAAAAAAAAAAAAACTGTTTGGTAAATATTCTGAGTGGAAAAGTGATAAAGTTCTGTATTCAACATTTACTATCGCTGGATTGTAAAAAAGGAAGGCTCTTCAGTGAATAAGATGCAGTTTTGGGATACCACACATAATAATCTTCAACTGTTTTATTGAATTCATCCCACCGTTTTTGATAATATAGTCTACTACACCATCAGTCTTAATCTCTAGTCATATCACTGGCCTGATACCAGGGCTTAAGATGAAGTTGTTTTGAACCAGAGGAAATTGCCGTTTCCATGGATGCTGGGTAGAGTCCTGCCCACGTTATGAAGCTGCAGAACTCCTGTGGTTATGTCTTCCTTCATCACCTCTCCTTCTGTTTGCTGTTCGCTTGGCTTATCTTAACTAGAGTCAGCCTGCCATTCTCGACTACACTGCCCTATGACAGTGTGATACTTTAACCGCTGATATGTATTGAGTGTTACAAATGAGCAATACTGTATTATTAACTTCATCATATACTGAATTAATATATATATATATATATCTAAAAGCACTTTAATCATGCATAATCGAAATCGAGTGACCTTGATGTAAATTCTGAAAGATAGCTGTTAACCATTTTTGTAATTTAACCCCACATACTGTCCATGGCCACTAGGGGATGTTTTGAGACGGTTAGTGTGTATGGAGCAGAAATGTCCATGCTTACTTCTACTCCAAAATTAAAGAGTTCTTGTATTTTGAGACAATCTGCAACAAATTTTAATGGTAATGCATTATAGAAGTTTAAGATGTAGATATTTAAAAAAAAAAATTAGTACAAACACACAGAAATTGAGAGTGAGATAACAACAACTGTACAAATGGTGTCAGAGCCATGGCTTTGAACTGGAATTAAATCTAAATGATTGTGTGATACACAGATTAGCGGTGTAATCCAATCAGGATTTAAAGAATATAATCCACTTTATTGATATTGAAATAAAAGGGAGAAAATTATATTGTTTTGTTCAAGGCTTAGGAATTCAGCAGTTTATAATAAAAAAAAAAAAATGCTTATACATTAATAAACACTGATGTACTTTAGGACTATTGAACTGCTGCTTGACGGCCTCTAATAGTCCGCTCTGTTGTCTTGTGTGTTTTCTGTATATTAGCATGTTGATTTAGCTACGTCTTTTTGCTTTTTTTGTGTCTGTTATCAGATCCTCTGTGCTAACGCTAACAGACATGGTAATAGTCATCCCCTTGGGCTAATTTGTTTATCTACAGTAGTGATAATGGCCATCCCTCCAGTGATCTGTCGGACCACTCCATGTATCTCTCCTGGGGCTCGACCGGGGCTTCACAAGCCCTCCTGCAGTTCATTCTTCCACTGTCCACACGATGCCATCCCAAACACTGCAGCCCTTCCTGGCCGAAACCCAATCCCTGCCAAATTAACCAGCCCTCGATTGGAGAGATTAGATAACCTTCTTGCTGAATAAGACTTTGGCTCGTGTGAAGGGCTTTTGCTTTCTTCCGCCCATTTCCCTTCTGTTCTCTTCTTTTGTTCTTGCGCTTTTTTTTTCGTTTTTGTTTTGTGACCCTCAGCATACAGTACAAGAAGTCCCAGAGAAAGCGAATGCAAAGCCAAAGGGAACACTTAAACTTCACAGAGACTCAGAAAGGGACTTTTTGAAGTGGTGCCACAAAATTATTTTAGACGTCTCTTGTGGTAAGATGATCTTGGGTTGACATGACTTGCCGTCTGATGGGAGTCTAGGCCATAAACGGAGAGATAAAGAGGTTTATTCAGATAGGAATGGACATGATACCTCCTAAACTGTTTAGTGTCAAAAAGGGAAGGGAAATTGCTCATTCATTCTTTCATAATGGGTTATCAGGTGGATTGTAATTTTTAATGGCACGCATAAAGACTTCAGTTCTCATACGGCCCTTTAGTGAGTGTGTTTGGTTGGAGGATGTAGTCTGGGGGGGAGGCGTTATATCTAGACTAGAACAGAGTGTGATTATGCACTTTTGCATCAGCAACAACAGATGTTCAGAGATAGTCATGAGACCTCCATCACTGCAGTCCAACTGTGTGAGAATGTTACAGCTCTCTGCTGAACCTGCAATTTATGGCACGTAACGTCGCCTACAGATGTCTAACAACTTAACAACTCTTTTCCCTTCCCCTCTGCTTTACTCTGGTTGTGTTCAAAATCACCCCCATACAATATAGTTATCCACTTTACACGCTTAGAAAAGTGCAACGTTTTATTTTGTGTCACCATCCTAGGTCGAGTTACTCTACTCGTGTAACTGTATTTAAATAGGGGAAAACGTAGAGGTGTTTGGTCGCTTCTCTGCTTGGCCCATATTGAATGAACTGGGCTAGTTAAGTGCTATCAAAGTGTCTCGCAAGCCAGAGCGAGACGAGAGAGGTATGTATCAACTCGTCTTAGTTAAGGGAATAACATAATTTAATATGAAAAACGGTTGAGTGTCCCTTTAAATGTGCTATATAAATAAATGCAAACTTGAAACTTGATATTTAATAATCAGTTAAAAAGTTTGGAAAGTGGATGGGTGCACTCTCACAGTGCATTATGGGTATTCTCTAGCCGTTGAGCGTACACCGGTTGTACACTAGTTATTGCGTTGTATTGTGGGATTTAATGAATGCACTTGACAACGTCCACTTTGGTTTCGGACTGCACTACAAATAGCTGTTCCCTCAAATAGTGCTGTGTTTAAGGGTATGGGTGTGATTTTGGACACAGCCTTTGTCTCTTTCACATGTTACTAACGTATAAATGGTCGAGTAACACAGTGTCTTCATTCTCCTTTCAGATTCGGGTAGATGGTCCTACTTATGGTGCTTTGCAGTACGAAACCATCCAGGTGGTCGATAATGGGCCGATCCTGAGAGACATGGCCTTTTCTGCTGATCAGCACTTCCTGTATGTGATGTCAGAGTCACAGGTGAGTCACTGCCACCATTTGCCCAAAATGCATCATGATTTACGCAGCACGTGTCAGCTGAGAGATAAAATTATAAAATTCACTTACTGTAATCACAGCCTGAGAGGTACACTTTATAGATAGGACATTTCATATTATAAAAAGTGACAGGTGATGGATTGGTGGATTAAAATTTCACTCACTGTGTCGAAAATACACGCGCAATTTACACATTAGTATGCCTGCTCAAAATGGCCCAATCGGTGTAATGGAGGAGATGTGGCTCTGTCCCTGATATCTTTAGCACTACTGAAGCTTGTAAATGTCCAAATCAGAAAAACACTTAGTGCTGTAAAAACATCCCAACTCAGATAACCTGTCATCAGGGCTTCTCTTGTGACATAAATAATGCTTTTCGAATTACCCAAATATAGCGTTTTATGCCGCCTAGTCCAGGTCTACACTGTGTATCATGTCTGCTGCATGAATCAGGACTTAAATTGTTCATGATGTGACAATTAGGAGTTTTAACCTTTGACCTCTAGATGAGGTGTTCTCCATTCTTTTATATAACCCCGAACACTCTTGTCTGCACTTATCACCAGGATTTAAGACGTTCAGTTCTCTCTCTCTTACACACAAGTGGTTAAAGCTACACTGTGTGATTTTTAACCCCATCTATATGACCATCCAGGGAATATTAGTTTCTGTTCCTCTCAATTCCGATTTCGTTTTAACTCCTACGGTGGCCAATGTAGTCCAAGATTTAAATGGCGTCCAGTTCGACCTCGTCCATGAGTGTTAACTCAAACGTAAACGCGAAAGGCAAAGCTTGAATTAACTTGTATGTCCCTCTTTGGCTAATGCACTTTCCGACATTAGAACCCCTTACCCGTATGTATTTTTAATGGCATATTATACACTCACGAGAATACTTTATTACTTGAACGAAGTAAACATACATTAATGAGCACATATATTTTTGAACGAACTAAGTGTTTTTAGCTAAGAATAAACTAAAAGAGTTACACAGTGTAGCTTTAAAGAATCCCAATAGTTAGTTTAAATATCAAGGCAAATTCAAGAAGACAATTTTGTCAATACACTGCTTCTGTAATGTCACACTCTCGCCTGAAAGCGGATGGTCTGGCAATGTGACGATTTATAGCAATGGCTATAAATCTGAAATCTCATTCAGTAAAATCCACTTCACTAGCAGTGAGGGTCAGTGGACTGCTGCATCCTGGGATTTGAGGCACAGCCTCAAATTATAAATTATAAATTGCCTAGTCTACAAAAGTTGCTACTGGATAGTTTTAGAAATTGTGTTTGGACACATTGCCTGTTTAGAGCTGAAAGTGTAGTCACATTTACCTTTGCTCTGACTGGATTTCGCTTGTGAAAATTTGCATTTTTATTGGAATCCACGTGATCAGGATTTTTTTAGTTTACGGCAAACGATTTCCCAATGCAGATTTTGAGACTGATTCAAGTAGATCACACAGATTTTACAAATTGACCAACAGAAAACCGCTTACACTGGTTAAAACTGGTTAGAAAGTGACTACCGAGTGAGCTGTGCTTCACACATCACTACACTATTGACAATAGACCTTTTTGCTAAGTGACCTCTTACACCAGAACCCAATATAATTTGCCACATCAATTCAGATGTTAAACTAGAATCCTAGGCAGTTTTGGTCACTCTCACCAACTTTAGGTATGCTGTAAACATAATTTAAGACCAGTTAAAAGTCTGGTTCAAAACTAGGCCATGATCATCTACTCAAGTCTTATGGGAAATGAAAGATGGTGTTTTCTTTGACGTGAATAAATACCAGAGCTGGACCTGTGGTGTTCTGCCAGTGAATAATCTCACCCTGTTGCAATTAGCCTATTAGCCCAGTTAGAGAGTTGTCGTCTGGTTTCTGTTTTGTCCCAAACGTCAGGGGATCACATCTACTGGGGAATCATGCATATATTTAGAAGCTATTTAGTGAACATGCATTCTCTCATCCCACCTGTATATCCCCCCCACCCTCCCTCCAGCACACATTCACACACGTGCACACTGAAAGATTAATTCTAGTTTGCTTTAAAATTTAATGATCTATGATGTAACAATGATTCTTGCATCACTAGCACCACTGCTGAATCTGCAGCAACGCGGCAAACCAAATGATATTTTACCTAAGTTGTGATCTTGAATGAATGTGAAATACAATAATGCCAAAATTGTGTTATACTCCTGGCATGGTGTGCGAATCACAGAAAGACTCACAGGTTGAGAATATTTCACTGACTTCTCCAGTGAACTGCTTTAATGCTTTGATAGTTTTAATATATTTGCACAGATTCAGATCTCACTCAGACTCTGTTTTCATTTCTGTGTTTACACTTTGGTTTGTTTTGCTGTGAATAACAGAGACATGCCATTTTTTGGCTTGCTTCTTTGTATTAGTCTCTCTCTCTCTGTCTGTCCCACTCTCACAGTTTGTCTCTAGCTCTGTGGTTGAGATGTCTGCATTAATATTTATAACTGATAACAAAATGCAGAAATTCTCATGACTGTTTTTGTGGTCGAGCCTCTTCACCCCTTTTTACAAAATTTACCCTTGTGTACCTTCAACTCTTACACACATACACTTTCACTGTATACTGTACAATCATTTTTTATTATTATTATTATTTTGTGTCTGTGTGTGTATTACATTTGTGAGACGGCCCTGTGATGCTTGGAAGTTCAGCATGATACACATGTGACTGCACTTTTTGTATTAAAAATGTAAAAGAAAAATAATAGGTTTAGTAAACTGGAACATGATTTTTTCCCCTGTACTTACTGCCTACATCCCAGATTTAGTGTATACTAGAACAATCATGAGCACACACAGTCAAATAAAATCCCTGTGGAAGAGCAGAGAAGGAAAAATAAGGACAGTACTGTAGGTCGATAATCTCCTGCTGGTCCAGCCTTAAAGATACAGTAAAAGAGATAGAGGGTGGGAATGTGAGGGATTAAGAGCCAGGGAATGATAGTGTTTGGGAGCTGAGATGGTCTCGATTATCTGTGTGATTATGGCTGATTGGTTGAACCAAGCTCAAGTTTTGCTGGGTTCGAGAGTCCATAGTGCCCCTTACGGAGTCATTGCGAGTACAGCACTGATCACAGTTCCCATGAAACCAGGCCTGTTGATGTCCAGGTTATACAGTGAGAGTCATCTGATACTGTAGTCCACTAAAATGTTTTTATTTTAAGATCTTCTTTGACCCTGGCCCCTAATAATATATGGCGGTCTTTATATGCCACAGTCAACAGTTAGTAATTTCAACTTTGTAGAATCATGGGTAATGTAGTTTTTAACCAGGAATTATAAACGATTATTTACAAAGAAATCTGCAGTCATATAATCGAAACATCATGCCAAAATAACTCTTTAGCGCCCATCCACTCCCATGAGTCTCCCAACGCTCTCTAATAAATATATTTGTATATACAGTATGTATATTTTGCCAAAAATAAAGCAAAATGGTAGTTCTACATACATAATTAACATATTCTGGTTTGGGAAAAATGGTTGGAAATAATTAATAGAAAGGTGATACTCTACTTTTTTTTTAGTGAATTAGAACCAAAGTTGGACCATTGTTTTTTTTTTTTTTTTAAACTATAAATTATGTGACTGAATTTAACAATAGAGCAACTTCTACCTTTGCTGATCACTTTTTTTCTTCTTTTTCCCTCTCTCTTTCTCTCTCCCTCTTACTTTCGCTTTCTAATTAATCCCCTGATTATCCCTCTAATTAAATCTGGCTACTTTCCTGTATCATTTTAAACAGCAAGATAAATGTCTTTTTAAGGAAAGAGGCCAGACTGTCTGTTGAGAGTGATGCAGATTACAGTTATCAGAGCTTACAGCTAATTATTGTGCTTGGCTTTTTGTCCACATTTGTCATCCTTTCTTCTAGGGCTAAGTGTTTTTATTGTAACTTTAGACAATGTCAGCGTCAGGCGCGTATCTGTGGTCGGAGGGACAGCTGTGTGCGCTAATGACAGAAGCCTCAGCTATAGTTCCTACTGCATTAAACGAATGACAGTGAGGTTCAGAGCTCAATGGAGTTACACAAATTACTGGTCTTGGCACATTAAAGCCTTTTGTTGTCTAAGTACCATCCAAATGGAAGTTGTGTTCCTCTCTCTTGCAGTTTACTGTCATTTTACACCGGAGTTTTGGATCGGTCTTTTGTGCAAAACCCGTCGGAGGTGAGCACGTACGCCTCGGCTTTGTCCTGCCTTAGAACGCTCTGTCCGCAATTTAAGGCAATTGTTGCTTCAATGGCTTCATTTAAATCTGAAGAATTGATGTGCGTTTTCCTTTTTTCATGGAAGTTATATAGATTTTTTGTCTCTGTGTGTGTGTGTTTTTTTTATAACAGCTATGTCACAAAGCAGGCTGGAGACAGTGGCTTCTCTACACTCTAATGCTTGCAGCATATTCATAATTCATGTAGGGCAAGTTGAAACTGCAGGTAGTGTAAGTGTTAATAATTTAAGTGTGTCTCACACCAGCCAAACAGCTCAAAGTCAAACTCTTTCGTTGCAGATCAGCTCTGGGCATTCATAGGTGGGATAAGGCATCTGCCACCTCATCAGAACAGGTTTAATAAAGACGACCTTTAATTTCAATTACGAGCTGCCATTTAACAGCGGTCCCATATGCAACGTTCTCTGCCAATCCCCAGTTGTGACATCCGGATCTTGAGAAGGTTTCGTTGTGGTATTGCAGTGGCCTACTTAGACTGCAGCCCATTGTGTTTGAGTGAATGGAAGTACTTAGGATGTCTGGATGCTTTTGGCAAACTTTCGGGGAATTTTAGTCGTTGAGAACAAAGGCATTTCTCCTGAAATGCTGATTGTGATAAAAGGAGGTTTAAATGGGAACACAAATGTCAGGTTGCAAGTTTTCACTTTTAAAGACAATAAAAGCTTATCCCTGTTTAGAGGAAAGAGCAATAAAAGG